ATGGGATAGTTCAACTGTCCGAGAGAAGGTTGGGGTCGCAGCTCAAGCGCGACAGTCTGGGATCAAGGTGCACTTTGGTCAGCTCATGACGATCGCCAGCATCAAGTTCTATGAACTTGCGAAGCACCTACAAAAGGTAAAGGGGCGCATCGTGTTCAGGGGAGACTGTGCAAAAGATGAAGCCGGTGCACCCGCGGTGTACCAAGAACTGGGGGCCAACCCCACCTCGGTACAAGGCCTAAACGCCTGCCTGGCGTATGGGTGGATCCCAGGACACACGGTCACTACCGCTGACGCGGTAAAAGCCTATGTCCAGGCGTTCCTTAGCTCGCAGTTCCAGACGTGGATCGAACTCCCGCCTGAGCTGCGGCCAAAGGAATGGGGTTCCAAGTTCGTGAAACCCGTTGATTCGTGCCCTCTATGGTCACCCTGACGCAGGAGGTCTGTGGGAGGCACACCTTAAGAAACTGCTCAAGCAGCTGGGAGGGGAAGAAATCCCAGAGTTTCCTGGAAACTTTTTCTTTAAAGGGGTAGGCCTTATGCTCTCGACTTTCGGGTCCCGCAGATGCACATGAAGCCTTTTGGGCTAAGCTTACAAAAATGATAAATATAGAGCCTCCCGAGCCATCTTTCGGGTGCTCGGGCGTAATCATGTCTTTATAGATGGCCCCGCAGAGCCTCAAGAGCATGATCTGAATGCAGCTGTAAGCGCATTAAAGGGTGCCGTTGCCTTTGACATGAATGACTATGCCCGTCAAACTGTAGAACTGTTTTGTTCTATAACCGGCATCCAACCCGAGAAGCTCCGGAAGGTAACTACTCCGTTCTGTCCAGACGGATCACTTCCTCCTGAAGATGATCAGTCAGCTGGTGAGCTAGCCCCAAACGCGTGCAAACTCCTCATGAAGGCCTTGTGGCTGGGACGACTAGCGCGTCCTGATATCATCAAGCCCATAGGTGACTTAGCAACCGCCGTGCAGAAGTGGTCTCGCAACCACGACAGGCAACTAGCCCGTCTTATCGCGCACATCCACTCGACTACGCACTACCGGTTGGTAGGAGTCATAAAGGACAACCCGCAAGATCTTCACCTCGCTCTGTGTGCAGATGCCGACTATGCTGGAGAAAGGGGCGCGAAGTCCACGTCAGGTGGCTTCTTGGTCCTCAAAGGACCGAACACCCATTTTCCTTTAGCGTGGTTGAGCAAACGACAGACATCAGTGTCGAGATCCACCACCGAAGCCGAGGTCGTTTCGCTCACATTCTCTTTGTATCAAGAGGGTCTTCCCTCCTTGACCTTGTGGGAAAGTTTGCTTGGACGCCCGGTTGAGCTGGTGCTACACGAAGATAGCCAAGCCACTATCCTCGTTGCCAAGAAAGGTTACTCCCCAAAAATGCGGCACACAGCGCACACATAAAGTGAACTTGTCCGCACTTGCTGAGCAACTTGAACCCGGCACGGGCGTAGTGATCAAGTACGTAGCAACCGATCTCCAGGCAGCCGACATCTTCACAAAAGCACTACAGCGTGGGACCACGCTCTCAAGCTTTTGGGCATCAGAACCAATTTGCCCGAAAAGTTAAAAGATGTCCGGCCTGAGATGAACAAGCAGTAACAAAAGTGCAACATCCTAGGTAAGCCCTCTTTATGGTCTGGTAAAGGACCTTGCGTCACATGGGTCGCAGCTCAAGCGCGACTGTAAAATACAAGTCTGTTAGTGAGCACGGGGAGGGGGGAGTTGAATAATCACGACCCCTTGACCCCCAAAGAGGTACCCCAGAAGGGTGTGCATGCATGTGATGCTAGAGGCCCCGTTGATCGCACGTCAAAACATGTCGAATGCCAATGCACATTTGGCTCAAGTGAAATCCAGGTCAAACACAGGGTTTGCGCTCGCCTACCGGACTGGGGTTAATAAGGGTCCCGGTTTCTGGTTCGCTGTGTTTCTTTCCCTGTTGAGTGATTAACGGCCTGCTCGGGGGGTGCTGATACGTGGTTGCGGTATCATCACGATGCTGACAGCATAATCATGATGTTGTTGAGCCCACCAAGGCGTTGTCGTCATGTTTCGTGGCTGGCGTAACATCATGATGGCGCCAACCACACCATGATGCTGCTGCAATCATTTCGATGCCACGTTCTCGCGGGTCATGTACCGCCATGGTTCTGTCAACATCATGACGATGATGCTGACTTTCATTACGATGTCGCAGGATGATTCGTGGCTGTGTCATCATGAGGCTGGCTGCATCATCATGATGCTGTTCGCATCATCATGATGCCGTCGAACTCGCCGGGACGTCGTCTCTGCTTTAGATGTAGCGCGCGCGTAAAGGTTCGTTGGTGGTGTATAAAAACATGATGCTGTTAACATCGCCATTGTGCTGCTGAACTCATTAGGACGTTGTCTGTGCGTCCATGTGGCGCACAATGCTGCGTGGCTGTGGTTTCACCATGATGCTGCCAGCATCGTCACGATGCTGTCAACATCATGATGATGCAGGTAGGGCGCCATTAGGCTTGTTTTGCTTTTCGTTGGCTTGTTTTGATTGTTTTGTTGTGTTTGGTTGGTTTTGTCATGTTGGGTTTTCGGTTTGTTTTTTGTCTTTGTTCATTTCGTTGGGTTTGATTTTGTTCGATTTTATTTGTTGCTTGTGTTGTTTTGCGTGATATTGTGTTGTTTTCTTTGTTCTGTTTGTTGTGCTTGGATTGTTTCTTCGTTTCTGTTTTTTTGTTTCGTTTCGTTTGCATTGATTTGTTGTTTGTTTGGCTTTTCGTTGGTTTGGTTTTGTTTGGTTTGGCTTGTTTGGTTTGTGCTTGGATTGAGCTTTTGCTTGTTCTGTTTTGTTTCGCGCTGTTGTGTTTGGATTGAGTCTTTGTACATTTTTTCTGGTTTGCTTCGCCTTGAGTTATTGTGTTTGGATTGCTTTGTTTTCTTTTGTTTGTTTGCTTTGTTGTGTTCGGTTTGGTTTCGCTTGGTTGCTTTGGTTTCTTTGTTTTTCTTTGTTTGCGTTGGTTTCGTTTGTTGTCGTTTTGCTTGTTGTTTGTTTTGTTGGGCCTTGTTTTGTTCTGTGTTGTTTTGGGCTTGCTTTTTGCCTTGTTATGTTCTGCATTGCTTTCCGCTTCGTTTGCGTTCTTTTGTTTCGTTTTGTTTTGCCTTGCGTTTTTTTTGTTTTTGGTCTGGTTTGTGTTGCTGTGTTTGGATTGAATCCTCGGTTGTTTTGTTTGGTTCTTCGCCACCTTTTTGCTTATTTGTTTTGGCTTGTTTTGTTTGGTCAGTTGTGTTTCGTTTGAATCTTTGTTTGTTCTGTGTCGCTTGTTGCTGCTGCTGCTGCTGTTCTTGTTGTGGTCGTGGTTGTGGTTGTGGTTGTGGTTGTGGTTGTGGTTGTGGTTGTGGTTGTTGTTGTGGTTGTGGTTGTGGTTGTTGCTGTTGTTGTTGTTGTGGTTGTGGTTGTGGTTTTGGTTGTGGTTGTGGTTGTGGTTGTGGTTGTGGTTGTGGTTGTGGTTGTGGTTGTGGTTGTGGTTGTGGTTGGTTGTGGTTGTGGTTGTGGTTGTGGTTGTGGTTGTGGTTGTGGTTGTGGTTGTTGTTGTTGTTGTTGTTGTTGTTGTTGTTGTTGTTGTTGTTGTTGTTGTTGTTGTTGTTGTTGTTGTTGTTTTTGGTTTTGGTTGGTGGTTGTGGTTGTGGTTGTGGTTGTGGTTGTGGTTGTGGTTGTGGTTGTGGTTGTGGTTGTGGTTGTGGTTGTGGTTGTTGTTGTTGTTGTTGTTGTTGTTGTTGTTGTTGTTGTTGTTGTTGTTGTTGTTGTTGTTGTTGTTGTGGTTGTTGTGGTTGTTGTGGTTGTTGTGGTTGTTGTGGTTGTTGTTTGTTGGTTGTTGGTTGTTGGTTGTTGGTTGTTGTTTGTTGTTGTTGTTTGTTGTTTGTTGTTTGTTGTTGTTTGTTGTTTGTTGTTTGTTGTTGTTTGTTGTTGTTTGTTGTTTGTTGTTTGTTGTTTGTTGTTTGTTGTTGTGTGTTGTTGTTTGTTGGTGGTTGTTGGTGGTTGCTGGTGGTTGTGGGTGGTTGTTGGTGGTGTGGTGTTGCTGCTGTTGTTACTGTGGTGTGGTGTGGTGTGGTGTTTTGTTTGCTTGCTTGCTTGTTTGCTTGATTGCTTGCTTGCTGGCTTGCTTGCTTGCTCGTTCGTTCGTTCGTTTGTTTGTTTGCCTGTGGGATCGGGTGGGGTGGGGGAACATTCATTGACTGAAGGTGTTTTTGTGGGCGGGAGTTCCGTGTTTTGGCGCTTTTGCTTTAGGTTGTTTTGGAGAGACATTGGCCATGAATGGTGAACATTTTGTTTAGTGTATTCTCACTGACTCAAGCGGCGGCTAGGATGAGTTGCAGCGCAACATTGTTTGTAACATGATGTGAACAGGCGGTTTTTCTCACCCTCTGGTTATGAGTGCCGGGCAATACGGGCCCCAGATTTAGCTAGTCCCTGGTTGAATTTGGTTTGGGGGTTGCGCAAGGATCAAACACAGATCATGGCAGCAACCACCCTCATGACTCTGGGCTGTCCATTCGGAGGTAGGAGAGGTGGCGTGGGGAGACGGTGTTTTTGTTTTCCCGAGTGATGGTTAAAAAGGGCAGAGCCGAGCAATTTGTGCAAAACGCAATGCACCGGGTAGCGGTGAGGGGGGGCCGTGCTAGTTCGTATGTGTCAGAAGCGATAGAAGGTGTGTTCGTTCCCCGATTTCATCCAGGGAACCCGTTCCCCAGGAGTCCTTAGCTGTAATATAAACCGGAATGAATGACTTGAACCCCATCCTGAAAATAAGGTGGCAATGACGCATTTGCGTCTGGCGTGGATTCCATCAACGACAAGTTACAAGTTCATTAAAGGCGAAACGAGCCCATATGGGTTGCCATTTGCCATGTTTTGAGGGCAACTGTTGGGGATTGAAACGGAAACCACCCATTTCGGGCGTTCCTGCAAGACACATCCATATACAAATTGGCATGTACCTGGAGGTGCCAGTCGGCGGAGCTGGTGGCCCATCGTTTGAACTCATGCAAAGGGCGTGAGGACAAAAAGGTGCCAGGGGGTTGGGTGTGCAGAATTTCTTCTTAGCTTATAGCAGAAATACATGGCCCTAAGAGTATGGTTGATTCCCTGACATTGGGAGCAAAGTGGGCATGAAACGTAATTGGTAACCCTGTGCGCATCGTGTAAATGGGTTTGTGTCTAAGCATTTTGATGGCGTTCCCTATTCCACTTTGACAGGGCGGCCGAAAAGCATCTCTTGGCAATTCGTTCTGTTGTCAACGCCAACTTTATAAACTTGTTTTTGGTCTCCATGTTTCGTTCGTCTCCCCCATTGACGTACATGCCTATTTGCCATATTGCATGTGTTTGTCAGCTTCCAGCCACTTTGTTGCGATAGGTAGGACCAGCACTTTTCCTTTCTCAACATCCTTAGGGTTGATTCCACATTCTCTTCAGCCAATTTTGTTCATAGTCTCATAATCTATTCAAAGCCGTATATAGGAGCAATTGGCAGCCAAGATCAGTATGTAGCCTTATCAGGAGCATATACTGCCTACTGCTCCTTTGCTCCTTGGCAAGAATCGGGTGAGCTATGAGGGCTTGAATAGTCCAAATGGTGGTTTCCCTTGGTGACCTCGAGTGGCAACTGGATGTACTGAGCACGCTTTTTGTGTGATAGATGAGATAGCGAGCCCCTTTCAAACCCTGTCCCCTCAACCTACGAGCACTGGACGCACGGGCTGGGCACAGAAAGCTTCTCGGCCTTCTGGCCCCCCACACCCAAGGCACGCCACTCAGGTTTCTCTTTCTATCCAAAAGGAAAAAAACGGAGGTCAGCAAACATTTTCCCTTTTTTTAAGAGCGGTGTGTGGCTCTTGAGCTGACCATCAGTTGGGTTTCCTTTAGCAACCATTTTGCAAAGATGTGAAGCAAAGACCACCTTGAAGCGGCTTCTCAAGTTCGGCACCGACCCTAGGTGCTAGCTGCACAAGTTCCCCAGTTGTCCAGTGGCGTGTTTTGTTTTCTTTCCCTGAGTTGGCCAGTCGGCCAGTTCCTGCCAATTCCGTCCTTTGATTCCGGCCACAGCATGACACGCGCCGCCACTCAAAGGCCCAAAAGGGACGACAAAACATCAGCCACCCGAGCACCGGAGTACTTCCGTTGACCCTCTCCCAGTGGCGCTGAAACACACACAGCGAGGGGGTTTGCCCGGCAACCCGCAACGTGCCCACCGGGACCCGAAATCAATTTGGGAGAAACTCCCAAGCTGCCAAGACAAGGCCGGTTTCTCATTCGATGATATTATGTTTTCATTTTCCAGGGAGAAGCTAATGCCCAGATTGTCCTTGATTGGCATGATGGTTTCCCCCGATGCCTTCAGTTCTAAACGGAACCGAAGCGGAAGGTTTCTCACACGTTGGCGAACTTTTCCGTTCGGTGCGTGCAGATTGCCACGCATGGGAAGCCAACCATGGCACAATTATTATCTTTCTTCTTGCAAGGGACTGGATCCGAGAGCGAAGTTTCGGTTCCATGCCGGTGCTGGAAGCCGAATCCCATGGGCCTTGCTCCTGGTGCTGTAAGCAAATCAGGCGGAACGGGGTGATTCTTTTCGTGTCGGTTTTCTCGCCCTACCCTCCTGATGTCGGCCCTTGATAAACAACCTCTGTCACAAACCAGGAGAGCTCCGGGCAAGAGAACTCCCCACTCAAACGGGATCCCAACACTACTCAAAGCTTCCAGCTACCACGATCCTTGCATGGAGTCTGGCTTCTTCAAAAGCGAAAGGCTCTTGTGGGTTGGTTGAAGCGCTGAATCTGAAGCTGCACACCCAATCAATCCCGAAGCGCCATCCACGTGTGGAGTTCAGTCAACATGTGCACCAGTCTCTGGGGGACGTGGTGGGCTCTCTAGATTTCCCAAAAGCCAGAGTCCCCCTAAGTCTTCCATGTCCCATACAGAAACCATCATATTTTGACCCTCGTCTGGGTTTGTCTCATGGGACATGCCATGTCCCCAAGTCGGTTGGCCTTCACTTGGTGCAGGTCCCTGTCGAACATGTCCAGTAGCGAAGCACCAAACACGCACCCAGTGATTCCATTTGTATTGCCAAGGGGAACCGCCCTTTTAAAACTGAAAGGACATTTGCAAGGTACCTACCATTGTGGTGATTAACTGGGTGGTTGGAAGAGTCAAGCATAGGCATTCCGGTCACTCAATCTCTTGGGAACCTTGAAAGGCTGGGCCAAGTTGGCGTAGGTGGCCCTGTGCGGTTTGTCCTTTGCAAGAGAAAAACACATATATATATATATATATATATCTCTGTGAAGTGCCTGAAAATGCCATACCTGCCACGCAAGCAAAGAACCCTATTTTCACCTGCTGATGTTGACCGGCAATTCCTGTTTAAGCAGCACACTGACCAGATTTCCACTGGCGAACAAAAGCTCATTTTGACCAGCACCAAAACGAAAAAGACAAACAAGAACATTGTGATTCACAGCTAGTGAAGCAACCCCAAGTCAACATGATATCAACAGGGCAGGTTTCGGCACAACTTGCCAGCGTATATGTGAAGATGGCATCATGCCGCCAGGTGTTGCGTATGTCTGTGCACACGTGCCTAGGCCCCCCCCCGCTTCTCGCCTGTGTGCACGTAGAGCTGCATGTTTGTGGGCGCTTAGACTGTGGTCCATAGAAACAGCCCCCCCCCCAAAAAAAAGGTAAATAAATAACATTTTTTTTTTTTTTTTTTTTAAAAAAAAAAAAAACCTCCCCAACCCCCCAAGAGAAAGACACTGCGTCCGTGTGCGAAGCTGACAAAAAGGCGAAGCAACAGCAGATTTCCCAGCGCCATGAGTGACGACTCAGGCTCAATCTAAGTTACATTTTTTTAGTGGGGACGCTTTGGTGGATGTGACGTAATAAGGACGCGATTTGCTTTTGTGCTTTTAAACAGGGGTTGCTCATATTTGAATACATCCCCCGAGCTGCTGGTCAATTTGTGTGCAGTGGCGCATACAGATTTTCTTTCCCCCAGTGAGTTTGGGACGCACGCAGCGGATTATCGTCAATGCGACCGTTTCCTGTTTCCGATGGCTCCAACAGAGACAATCTTCAAGCGCCCCGAAGCAAGCCACGCGTCAAACAGAAGGCGGCTCGTGGCTGTAACTTGGCCTCTCATGCCTATGCGTATTATGCTCAGGGGATGGATGCCTCAGTGCGTGCTTGTTGCTTCCTTTCTTGAGTGAGCGCAAGTTCGAAGGTTGCTTTCGTCCTGAAGCGATACACCTGAACATTGCTTCTCGATTTCCTTTTGGTTTCCCTTCAAAGGCCATTTTCTCTCACTCCAGTTGCCTTGTTTGACGCTTTTTTGCCCTGGAAGAACAGAGTGGATAAACACTGCAGATATGGGGGGAAACAGGTAAAGAGCCTTGAAGACACCGGAAGAATCCCTGAAGTTGGAGGGTCTGAAAAGGCTTCTAGGCGTTCGCGCAAGTTGGTTGCTGTTGTCAGCATGTTCAGACACTCGTGACAGCCGCGGTGTTCCTTCCCCGTTTTTGAACTTCATGTTGTTTCTAGTTGTTTCTTGTCTGGCTGCCAACCGCTGTTTGAGTTTTATTTTGCGGAGAAGCCACAAATAGTGGCTCGCGTGGAATCTTCAGGGTCAAGTGAAAAAAGCAACATGTGTAGAGGAATCCTCTTTTTGAGTTCCACGTTAATCTGGGTGTTAAGTATCATATGAGTTTCATGTTCTCAAAAGGCAACCAAACGCCGGGCGTGTAATTTTTGAGTTTAATTTGGTTCAAGTTGGGGCGGTTCAAATCCCCCAAGGTACCACCGGTACTGCTCACGCCGGAGGTCCACCCAAGACCATGGACTGTGGCCGTGCTCGCGGAATCGCCGGCTCGGTCGGTCGCCGAATGGGTTTGCCCCAACATAGGATGCCACCTTTTATGTCTTAGGAGCCAAAAGGAAACCAACCCATTTTCCAGGCGCAGGAAACCGAAAGAAACCCGAAGGAAGCTCAAAGGAAACCCAAAGAAAACTCGAAAGGAAACCCAAAGGAAACCTAAAAAACAACAACCGCGTGGTGGGAGACGAAAGGAAACCAAGTGGGAGCCCCCCACATCGAGGCGCGCGCGGCACCGCTTCGCCCAGCAGCGGGCCGATGAGGCGCAGGTGGCGCTGAGGTCGCGGATGCAGCAGGCGACGCGCGGGGGGGACGCACCAGGCGGTGAACGCACGACGTCGTTCAAAGAACATGTGTCTGAGGAGAAGCTGCTTTCCGGGGGTGTGTTTAAGGGAAACATAGGGTCTGAACGGGACATCAAAGGAGCAACCGTTGTTTGTAGATTTTCGTTTTGAGGCCAATCTAAGTGTTTTCTTGAACTCTTGCGATACGCCAGGAACCCGGACAGTTGTCGTTTTGACTCCGTGCTGCGGCTTGAGCTGTAAAGGTTTCGGGATCGCTGTTTTGTGGGGCGAAGGTTGCTTGCTTGCAGCCTCTGCAACTCATGGTGGATGTGAGCAAAACCCACACCGCAAAAACACGTTTGCCCAGGCTAGAGGCAAGTCTAGCCGTCGGGCTGCTGGCAAGAAAGGACCTTGCCGGACTTTGGCCCCCCATTTTTATTTTTATTTTTAAAGGGAGCCTTAATGCTGAGCGGCTCACCCAATCGAATGGCCTATAACAGGAGGATAGGATTTCATGTGGTCAAAAAACCTGGTTGCTTGCTGACAGGTGGCTCTGCGATCAGCCCAGATATTTTGCAATTGGGGAGGCTTTCCACCCAGCCCGGCCAGATTCAGCCGCCGAAGCTGTTCGTCCTCATCGCTCCACGTGCCTTGGGCCCATGTCAGCTTTGGGAGTGGAACCAAAGGAAGCATGCCACACAAAGATCGCAGAACTGCGTAATGACCAATGCCAGATGTTTGCATAGGCAATGAAGCAAGCCCGTATGTGGCCTTGATGGCTTCTGGTCAACATCACGTGTTCCTTGCTGACATGATCTTAAGATTTGGTTTGCCCGTTGCGAATGTGGAAGCTGACAGGTCAATGACGGCGGATCCGTTCTGTTGTTTGTCAAACGGAGGTCCTTGTTTGTGGAGCACAAGGGCCCTTGAAGGAGATGCCCTTGCAGCCCTGGTACGCAGCGAGTTGTGGGTTCCATGTGATGGCGGCATGTGACTCAGCGGCGCGCCGCGCAAGAAACGTGCCGCACTTGATGGACTTTGAGCTGACTCGGATTTGGAATCTCGTGCTTACACCAGGAACGCCTTTTGGACAACGAAGCATGTTTTCGCGGGAGTCAAAGACCAACCCATCAACTTGGAATATGATGGAACATGAATCGACCTTACCAACGTTTTCCATGTGGCTTCCTTTCAGGTCAACCGTGTATTTCAATCCAGGTCCTTGGGGCAAAGTTTCTCTTACGCACGGGTGAGTTGCCGAGGCAACGTGGGCGAATTCCTCAGCGGCTCGTCAGAGCTTCAGCGTTGAGCGAGGACTCAATCCCTCTTTCGGTGATGGGATCCCAGGATCAATGAATCCTCTTTGATGAGCCAGATATATCAGCAGGTGGATTTATCCGGGGTCGGCACTAGGTTGCTTGTGGCCGCCTTCTCAAATCGACCTGCAAAGTGGAGTATTCAGGTTGGTCCTTACTTTCTTGGTGCGACGAGAGGCCATTTGTTGCCCTACCAGTGTTTGGCCTTCATACTTTTGCCCAGATCCTTTCATGGGAAGCACGCCGTGCGGACTTTCTTGGAGACGTTCGATTCGCAAGGGCTCGTCGTACCGTTTGAGAACAAGTACTCGATGTCCAATTTGCGTCCGCGGCATTCGCAAGAAATTGGATTCCAACATGGCTCACAAAGCCTCTGCAGCATGGCAAGCAACCCCTCCTGAAGCATCAACTGTTTTAGGTTTCCCACTAATGAGGATGCTTAATCAATTTTGTGGCTGCCAATTTGAAAGGAGTCCCGGTAATTGGCTGTTTGGTGGCCCAGTTCTGGTTTGCGGCCAGCCTTGAGCATCTCCCTCCAGGACACACAAAATCTCCCTTCAAGCGGTATGAACTGCATTCACCCAATTATTTCTAGAAACTCCCATGAGCTGTTCAGTTTTCTGGCATATTCATTTGCACCCGCCTGCCGCAATTTCGACATCACTCCTGTAAAAGGGCGTGTATTTGAACTGGGATGGCAAGTCTTCAAGCTGTACCTTTTGACTGCCAAGAGACACATCTGCGTCTGCTGATCTGACCAGGGAATCATGCAATGTAATCTGCCTTTTGTGCATATACCACAGCTGCGCACACAGACGACGGACGGAGGAGCGTTTGCTTGCTTTCTCAATACGTAGATCCACATGGTAGGTCACGGTACACCGTCGCCAATTATCCCTGACTTCCAACGCTTTTCTGGTTAGCAGTTTCTATTTGACTTCCAGTCACGCTTTCCTAACTGAGGCCGCCAAAGTGCGAGGTTGTTGGGGGCAGAATGAAGCCAGGGGCAAGACGCCCGTTGAATCCGAACATCCATTCCCGAAAGGTATCAAGAGGGCCACTCTAAATACATCCGCTCAAATAAACGTTGTCGAAAAGGAAGGCTCCGACACTTCCAGGTCACTACATGGATCGCTTTTTTTTTGGCGGGGACTCCTGTACGGAAGCTGCCGGAGCACAACCAACCTGGGTTTTGGTCGCTTCGGGGAACGCAGTACCCGTATTCCGAAAAGGGACTTCACGTGGAACCTGTAAAAGGAGAGGTCTTGGGTTCCTAGAAGCGTTGAGTTTCTTGGTTCCATGTCGTTCAAGAGAATGCGTTGGGCCTCTCGGGAAAACCTCTTAGAGGGTGGGTCAAGTTGCCTCTTGTGCCTTTCGGGGCCCGACTCACAAACACCGGAGAATCGCAGGGCCCTGATGGTCGTTCCCTATCGTTGTCGGGCATGTATTTGTGCGAGGCTCATCTAGGGTTGTGAGTGGCCCGGGGCTGGTGCTAACTTAAAGGTAGCTTGGCACCTAGCTGATTGGTCCAGTCTGGTGCCTGCACCAGTTCTCGCAGGGTTGCTCCACGTTAAAGGTTGACCTCAAGGCTAAGCCTGGGTCAATGGATCGATCCACTTCGAAGCGAGGCTTCGAGGAGACCCCGCTGGGGGAGGGGGGCTTCGGCACGGTGTTCCGGGGAAGACCTACGCCGGCGGGGTGCAAGCTGGTGCCTGCAACCGCAACGGCCGCGTTGCGGGGGCGTGGGGCGCAAAAAACTTGTTCCTTGGACCATGAGAGACCCAAGGCATGCAAAGTTCCATGAGTGTTTCGTTGCGACTTGTTGGTTACCCTGAAAGCACTCGTAAGGACAGAAATTGGTATGGTCCTTTTTTCCAGGGATCTAGCAGGTGGACCCTGGCACGCCCGTTGGCTCTTTCAAAGGAAGGTGCTGAGGATATTTGGGTTGTGCCCTGAGAGGAACCTTTTGGAGGTGTTTTCTTCGCACCAAGGAAGTGAGTGGATGCGGCCTCTTTGAGGGCACCCTTTTTGTAAGAAATCCTCCCCTGTTCCAAATGGGCCTCCCCGTTTAGATACAAACCAATTGACGGTGGCGACACCAGGCGGGTTTTCCCCTGGCATGGGACCGGCTCGCCAGACTGAAATTGCCGGGGATCCACCTCTTCCCGTGGGATGTTCTTAGTGGTTTTCACCACGCTCACAAAAATGGTTGGTGTTTGCACAGATCCCGGAAAATATGGCGATCCTTTGTGGAGTGTCAGATGAGTTTACGCAGATCATTCAATTTGAAAAAGGTTGTGGGCCTCTTTCTTGGCATCATTTGTTGTGGGCTTTCCTGGAAAGATGAAGCGCAGGGATCTTGTCATTGGCGCAGGGAATTTCTTGTGGCGAATCGGCTGATTTTCGGCAAGGGCTTGGTTCTAGTTAAGGGGGAAGATCAAAGGGCTGCATGTCCCAGGTGCAACTGGTTTTATTGAACCAGGGCCTTGCGCAATATGCATCTTGAGATTTCTAGCTGGTGCTTCACCTACGCATCGTGAACACGTGTATGAGAACAGATAGATGTACTACCATAAATCGGACAGAGCATGTTTTGATTGCTTCCGTCCCATGTATATGCGTCATGGCCAACTGCCAAGGCACCAGCAGTTGAAACAACAATAAGCCCATGGACCAACATGCTAAAAGACGATTTGGAGCCTCCAGGCACGCCTAGATGTGGGGCAGATCGCTTCAGGTGTGGAGAAGCCGAAACCATTCCAAGCCTGGGTTTTCCTTCCGAAAAGCAAGGCTTGAGCTCGCTTGATCTCATTATTTGGAGTACTAGAGACAATTACACGGACAATGGGTATAGGTTCCTAATTCTCTTTGTACATGCCCTTTACATATCTAGTAGTTGGTTTGTATGGCTTTCCTTTGGGGACGAGGTCTATAAAGAGCTTACAAGGGCCCACAACGATGGCCCATGTGGTTTGCTACGGAGTGCAGTAGGTTGAAGATGTGGGTAACGAACAATGGGGCGTGGCTTGGGCCCGAGACTTGGCGCAGTTGGCCCGGTCCAAGTGGGTGACGTGTTGAATACGCGTATGACTATGAGTTGTTGGGCTCTCCAGGAGGTTGGGGCAACCAAGAGGGGTTGCCCTAATACTCAGCCCCTACTGAACCCACGCCCCAAACCCGGCCTGGCGTCGGAAAAAGCCGAAGCTCCCGACAGAAAAAGAACATGTCGCGGCCAGATGGCTCCTTTTTGGGCGCCCCGAGGTACCAGAGCTTCGCCCCAGCAAGTCCTACGCGCTTTGCCTCAATCCGGGGGGGGGGGGGGGGCAAAAAGGGGGGGTGTAACATGCGTGCAATGCCAAGATATGTACAGGGTTTGCCTTTTTCGTGGGGATCTTTTGTGGAGCCTAGCTGTGGATGCTTCTCTCCAGAAACTTGAAGGGGGAACGTTGCTGATTTCTCCAAAGAAGCAATTCTTTGTTTTACAGGGAAACCAAAGGAAGCGATTCCAGATACCACGAAGATAGTGAAACCGCCATAAACAACGCAAGGCAATATTCCTGGCTGCCTGCCATAGCAGTAGCTGGGAGATGGTGTAAACAACCTGCAGGGTTCCCTGGCCAGGGTTTGGTTTCATTTTCTGAAGGGCACAAATTGGCGCCAAATTTGAGGCCCCAACGAAAGCGCCCTGCGTCCAATCGAAAAAGGCGATGGCCGCCCGAAGGGATCCCAACACCGTGGGCCGTTATTTTTTTGGTTGGGGGATTCCTCGTTGGACTGTGTTTTAGACACCGGCACGCTTCAGACGAGTCCAATTCATATGCCAGGAGCTCATAAAACTTGGGTTCATGTACCACAAATCGCCAGGCACAAAGACTTTGCCCTCCCCAAGCAGCATGACTCGGCAGTATTTTGCACCCTACAAGCCCAAACACAACAAACAATTGTGGGTTATGCTGTTATTTGCTTGCATATGTTTTGGGGAAATGCAGAAAAGACACACGGAGCAATGAGCTCTTGGGGTAAGACTAACTCACCCACGAGGCGCTTTGCGGGCGCGATTCCTTATTTTCAGGTTTTGGGAATTATTGTAGAGGAGTTACAGCGCGCAAGGACACGCAGACCTTCCCTTTTGCGAATTCAACCACACCTTGATCTCCCTTATCCAGCCAAACAGGGAATTCCTCTTCTTGGGGACACTATTCCGCAAATTAAGACGGAACCCCAAACATGCCCCCCGCCAACGGACTTGCGACAAAGACCGAACGAAGAAGCAGGCGGTGAAGATGGTGAAGAAGACAGAGAAGGGTGGACTCACAGAGGAAGCGCCTTGGCAGAAATGAGGGTGTCACTTTTTGGGAAGGCCCTGTTTGGCTGAAGGGAAACCAAAAGGAAGCCAACCATTCTCTGGGCCTCCGTATTTTGAGACACACCCAAATGTTTTTGTTGTTAGGGATCCAATTGTTATTTCAGATTTTGGAACTATTGTAGAAATTGCCATGCATGAACCATGTGTAACTACATACCTGCCACTGGCAAAAGGCCCTGCTATGCCAGGCTTCCATCCCACTATTTTAGGGCCTGATCAACCAACATACATTGACGGAACTCACACATTCATTTCTAGGCATCCGTCCCGAGAGGCATCCGGTTGTCGGCCGTGTGCCACACGGCCCATTCTTTTCGGGGCGGGCATGCAGTGACATTTGCCTCCTGACAAAAGGGTGTGTGTGTGTGTGTGTGTTTCGGGCGTCCCCCCTCCCGCAGATGGTTCATTCTCCCATTTGTTTTCGTTTGTGACCATTCTTATTTTAGCAACGAGTACTATGGCTCACCAAACCTCTAGCCACGAAACAGATCCTCGTGTCCATAAATCCGGAGCAAAGAGTAGCTGGTCGCTGTTTTTGTTGGGTGTGTCTCATGGCGATCCTGCAAATTGGGCGGTTTGCCCTTGGCTTCCCAATAACCCTGCTGCAGCAAGGGGCACGCTTTGCCCCATGTGAGTCTACAGTTAGCTATGTCTTGCACATGACAAGCACCAGCGCCGAATTTCTGTCGTTCCAAGCTTCGTTCTTGCAGAGTAGAAATATGCCAGCTGGATTTTCCATCTTCAAGACTTCAAGCATTTAAATGGTGGTTCTCCTTCTTGGTTGCAGATCATAGTGGTAACTGGAAGCACTGCAAATAGGACAGTAGAAAACCACATGTGCAGCAATCATGGTAAAGAACCAATGTTTAACGTACTGGTCGCATACACGCTTTCCTGTTGGGCTCAACCAAGAGAGGTTGAGAAGTGGCCTCACCCCCAAGTGAGCTCGTCTTTCGGGGTCGAATTTGTTTGTTGAGCCAATCCCTTCGTCGTTTTTGCGGAAATGACCTCTCAAGCGAGTTTTCGGGTTCCCTTTTGGTTTCCTTTGTCCAGCCCTCCCAAACTTTGGTTCCGGTTCAACGGATCTTGGAACGGGCCCACCTCGCCATGGAACGGCTGCCGACGCCGTGGGTTGGAAGTGCTGCTCTGACTCGGACTTCCGGTGCTTTGGCACTGCAAGAGGGCAGGGGAGCTCTACTCGGGGGGAGGGGCCTACTCGATGCGTACCCCCCTCGTTTCCAGTCAATGTCCGACAATTCCAAGACCCTTGTATTTTGTACCGAGCATGGTTGAGGAGTGTTCTGAAAGTCGCTTTTGGCTTTCCTGGTTTTCCCTTCTTTCCTGGGCGCGCCCCATGCACACTGACTTGAGAAGGTTGCTGCAAGCCAACAAAAGCCGACAGTCTGTACCTCTCCACTGCGGCGTGGAAAGCAGGAGGGCGAAAGTTTGATGGATCCATGCTGCCGCAGGAAGCTGGATTGTTGGTAGCAGTTGACCAATTGCTCCCGGGAGGCATTGTCAACTTAAAAGCTCGAGCCATCCTTCCGGGTTTGTTTGCGCCCGAATCAAGCAAGCTCTTCCAGAACAAGCAGTGAATCCAGATGCCTAACCCCCCACTGCTTGTCGCTGCTTGTGAGGGTTGTGCTGGCTTAGACCCCGTTTCTAGCTGCGGATTCTTTTCGCGGGGAAAACAGCTTCTGGCCTCATGGCTGGTCTTCCCTTCGACCATTTGGAAACAAGTGGCTGTTCCAAAGTTAGTTAGACCTTTTGCTCAGAGAGACAGGGCAGCCCAGTCTGGCCACTGGTCAAGGCAGAAAACCTGAGGTGCTGAACGGCACCTGCCGCGCCGGCCGTTGACTGCGGCCTTGGCCGCGCATGGCCGCTGTGGCACAGCCTGCGTGGCGTTGGTTGGCGCCGCAGTGGGAGGCACGGCTGTCATTTGCTGGGTGCCTGGGGTGAAAGGTGCGGGGTGCGGTTGGGGGGTGGGGGGGGGGGGGGTAGAATGATGAAGGGCAATGAGGAACGGTCTCAGAGCCTGAGACGACGACACTGATCTGACATCTTCTCAGCACCCCATCATTTCGTATTTTGACCTAGTGTGTAGTTTGGTTTGCAGGAGGAAGCTTGTATTTCGAGTATAGTCCAGCAACTTGCTTACATGGCTCAAGGCAGATAATGACTCAGGTGAAAACATGGGCCCAAAACTGCAATCAGGACTCACCAAAAGCGATCTGAAGGAAGCCCAAGCTGCAAGCCGTGATTCAAAGGGCGGCGTAGAATGGACCCAAGTTAGCTTCGATGAAGCTGAGGCGGTGTGAAATTGGTTTGGGTCAGGACTGGTCATCCGCCCTGCATTTGGACATGCGGGGCTTTCTCAAAATGGTTGACCCCATTTTGGATGGTCGTAAAGGGAAACCAGTGGAACTGGTTGCCATGTAGGGAACCCCCATTTCGAGAAACGCCAATGTGACAATCTTTGTGAGGCATCCGAATGGAAGGACCATTAGCCAGTGCCTCTCATCAGCCTTTTGCCTGCTGCCTGCTTTACACTTCGGGTAGTAACATCCTTTGGTTTGAGACTCAACCCGACTCAAACTTTTCGGCCGGTGAGCTCACGTGCGCAGGATGCCGGGCTGACTCTCGGCGTGGGGTCCGGCGACGCTTCTTCAACCTCGGCGCTTTGGCGCGCCAGGAGCAAGTGTTTCAAAAAGGAAGCCCCGGCCAGTTTCAAAAGATGCAGGGTTTGAACAGAGAGCTGGCTCAGCCCCTCTTGGCACCTTGAACAGGTGTGGTTCCTCTTTTGATGGGATTGAAGATTGAAAGTCATCCATCTTTTGACCTTCTTGCTTCAGGCAGTTGTAGTCCGTAGTCCAAAGGATGACCTGGGTGTTTCTCACACTGGGGGTCCCTTATGGTTGGGTTCCTTGTGGTTGAAATACCAACCAAAAGGGGGCCCACCAGTTTGAGACTGCACAAGAGCCGGATTCAGAAGACGTGCCCAGACGAGAAAAGCTTGACTGTTCCGAGGGATTGTCTGGCGAGGAGCTTCCCGTGTTTCCAAGGGGGTTCGCCTTGGATTTCCGCTACCCTTTTGATGGACGTCGCTTTGGAGTCCTGGTTTAGCAGCCCTAGACTTGGAGCCTGATGGTTTGTCTTCCTTGGCACTTTGTTTTGTCGGCTTTCAAGGGAAACCAAAGGGCCAACAGCCATTTTGGGGATCTTTGTTTCAGACATCCATACACCCCCTTCCCCCCAAACATTCAACCTCTGGAGGGGAAACACAACTCTGGAGGGTTTACGTAGGTGCCGTCCCCTCTAGCCGGACTCCCCAACAATACTTGGACTTTCGGACATATATTTCTTCAGAGCCGCGGAGTTGTTCGTCGTTCACCTCGAGGTTCGGACGAGAAGGACAACGTGGTGGGCCTGGTCTACGACGAGCGGATGGCGAAGCACCGGAACTTGGAGGAGCCGAAAGCCTTGGCTTTCGCTGAAGCCGAGGTGCCCGGCTCTTCTGCTTGGTGGGGTTTTGGTTAGCGCGGCATTTGTTGAGGCCCCTTTGGGTGCCCTTTGTTTCGGGCTTTCAGGGGAAACCAAAAACAAGCTTTGGGGGATTCCCGGTTTTTGGTGCAGAGGGAATCCCAGAAGTGACAAGGTAGACATTTCCAGAACAGAAGGATGAGATGGATAAATGGGTGAGTGAACAAAGGGAAGGAACGGATGTAAGAGGAAGGATATGTTCTACATGAGAACCGGCCAAACATCCAGATCTAAGGGACAGGGCATGCTTTTGGATCCCCTGTCTTCCTGTCTAGCGGGGCCGTCGCTTCTTTGGAGTTCGGGTAGGACAGCTCCCACCCGGAGCAGCCCAAGCGGGTCCTGGCGGTCTTCGAGCATTTGCAGAGCCGCAGCCTGGCGAAGCGCTGCACGCGCGTGCCTGCCAGGCGGGAGCCGGCAAGGGCTCCGGTCAGGTGGGTGGTCGAAGCATCACCCACTTGAAGGCTCCGCTCTGTGTGTGGTCAAGGTTTCCTCAGGGGTAAAGGGGGGGGACATCAGAGCCCTGAACGTGCCCGAGGCCGGGAATGGAGCCGTAGAACTCAGGGATTCCTGGGCTCGGAATTGGGTAGGACCGCCTCAGATTCTGTTTGGAGATGTGACTTTCAGTTTTGCATGAGTCTTTCCCTACGCAAAACCAACGGGTCCAGACAGTTCAAGTCATGTCATTTCACCCTTTTGGGCAAATGGGGCTTCAGCCCAAAGGAGCCTAGGACGTAGGACAAAGCATTCGCCAGCTCTTTTCCCTTTCCTCCCATATCCCGCTCTCTTCCATAAGCTACTAAATTACTAAATGAGCGGGGAGTGGTGATTGTTGGTGAGGAAATAGGGTGGTGGAAAGGACAACCCCAACCCTCACCTCTCTCCCATTCATCTCTTACCTCAACCCCTTTCTGTCTATAAATCTGACTAAGGGGTGGCATGCTCTCTTTTCACTGTCTAGTCTGACCAATAGATATCACGTAACAATATGAATGAAGGTGAGAGACAAAGTGAGAGAGGCAAGGAATGGACAAGACCTCGCCCGTAAGAATAATGACTCTAAAAGCCAGGTGAGCCATTCCTTTTCCATTATTATCTCTATCTTTGACTCTCAAGTGGTGGTTTGGATTAGTGCGGAAGGAAGCTGACTTACCCTACCCATGGTAAAACCACTTGGCTGGTGCAAGGAACATCAGTTGCATGCCCCGGAGACCACTTAGGTTTGGAGACGAACCTGTCGCCGGCTTGGAATTGCCGCCAGGGAGGCGACGAGGGAGGAGCTGCTGCTGAAGCACTCGCAGGAACATGTGGATGCCATGCTGGGCGTGAGGAATCTGTCCGAATCTGCACCTCGGCTGGTGTCACGTGAGGAGAGCCGGGCTTACTTTTTGTGGGGACGTGTGCCGGGAGCCACCAGAA